TTTGCATTTTACATTTCTTGTTTCCCATTTTTTGATTAGCTGTAGTGAGTGAAATGATTCCCTCATTTTCTTCTCAACACAGTTTATGGAAAAGGTGTAGATCAGGATGGTTTTAACTTCTGGAACCGGCACTAATTATTGTGAACATCAATTTTCTTCCTTTTACCCTCAATAATGGATATTTACTCCCCTACTTCTCAGATTGTATACACTGATGGTTGATATTCCCGGAATGTTTAATTGGTTATTGTTGCTGCCCTCCCGTAGGCCTCAACCGGGTGTAAGATTAGCTAGTTACCATTTTCTCCCATTTTTCTTTTTTGCAGAATGATCTCCTACTTTGTTCAATAATTTAAGGGTAAAATATGGTAATTTTATTTTCTGTGTTTTGATTTTACTATAGGTAAGATCTTTTCTTTTTGCAACTTTCTGTCACCATATTATATGTTATTTTCTGAAGTAATATGTCTTGTATGTTCTATTTATTCTCCTGAAATGTTTGTTGCTCTACTCTTGAGTTTCTGTGTTAGGGTTTAAAAACACAGATACATACAAATATTTTAAAAAAACTAACTAGTTCGCAACCCAAAATCACAGTCTTTAATTGTCATTAAAAAAAAAAAAAAATTAATACAGTGTTCAGTTGCAATGAGGTTAAAACTAGAGATACGGCTGCAATTTGTCCGGAGATTCATTATTTTCTCATTGAGATATTCTAACTTTAAAAACCAGCCTGCACCGATCTGACTGAACCCTAATCCCACTTTCCCTGTTTGGTTTTTGATCGCATCGACTGCTGACCGCCATTAATTCCATACAACAGTAGGGAGATTTATGCGGAAATTTCTTGGAAGGCGCGGTTCATACTGACTCTTGATTATAATGGCAGGAGAGAATATTCAATTAACGTGACCTGGTAAAGGAACATGCCAACATGATATCTCTTTAAAAAAGTTGATATAATGTTTTGTAACCACGTGCTCGTGATATTTTTAACTGATTCAACCGGGATCGATTAATGAACTACTAATTAAATTTTAAAATGGGTATCTTAAATTAATTTAACCAAAGATTAAAAAATTAATCAACTAATTGAATTAACGCAATTAGGGCAGTTTGAAACAAGGATGTCAATTATCTTTTCAAAAAAAGCAATGGTAGTTCTGCAGGTACCAATAAAAATATAATTCGAGATGTATGCAGTCAGGAGTTTATGAATACTGTTACTACTGGGGAGTTCAGCAAAAACTTTTTCTTCTGGTAGAATCCAACTCCAATTAAAAAATTTAGGAGATGTTTTGAAATTTTATTTGAGAATTAACCATTTCTATCCCATTTTAAATGGGTATTTATTATCAACATTTATATGCAATATTTAAAATTTTATTTTTAGAGTA